CTTGTGAATTAAGAATATAAACTAGTAATATGGCCTATGGGAACTTTTAAACAAGAACAGCATGACCGAATAAACTAAATTATATGAAATAATCGCATACATAATACAGAATCCGTTGTATCTGGTTTGACTTCCGAACGCTAACAGATCACAGTCGTTAGGGAAACGTTGGTTGCAATTCTCTTGGCAATAACTCATTCCGTACATGGCCCGGTGATGCAATTGATGTCAAGATATGAAACATCGCAGCGGGACGCGAGTTTTAGTAAGGCAGTCACTTGTAACTAGCTGTGCCGGCGACTTTGTCCGCGTGGAATAGACCTTTGGGGCGTAAATTTTTTTATTTACTTAGATTTATTTATATTTTTTTTATTTACTTTAGACTTATATACTAAAGCGGCGGTATTGCGGTCGGTCTTGTCGCTAACAAGTGATCTCTTCCCGGCAACCCAAAATGAAAGATGAGAATGTTTACGAGAAAAAGAGATGTGCAAGGTGGGCGAAATTTAATAAATATTATTAAATACTGTCTGTATTTTATGCGAGAAGTACACATTTACACAAAAACTGTAACGGTTTAAAACTCGGACTATATTAGTAAAACTAATTTACAATTTAAATAAGTTGCGGATTCTTTGCAGCAGCCGTAGTCACGGGGAAACTGCGGGCCATAGTTTAAACAATTTGCAAGTAAGTTTAATTGATATAGTTAGCATTTTAAACTGTTAAAGTATTTTATTAAAATATAATATTTTTATGTTTATTAATGCAAAGAACCTCGTCAGCTTTATAGATTATTGGTGTTAACCTCGACGTCGTCGGTGTCCCTTCGTTTGTAAGTTTATCTTTAAAGATAAACAATAATGTTACAGAAATGTTTAGATCATTTAAAGAGGAATCATTATTTTATACACATTTTTTGGTTACTTGTACTGTTTTTGCAGCGCACGTAACGAAAGCCTTCAAAGATGAATAATTTTACCCGTTCTTTTTCCTTTTACCAAGGTATTTTCTCTTCTCGTCGTGTGTTTGCCTAGTGTTTATAGGTGACAAGTGTCAATCAATAACGTTTCAAAAGGGCGTGGTACTTTGGGCTTAACAAGTAGGAGTTTTGTCATTTAAAAATAGAAGCTCGTTATCTTTATGTTTCGCAAACTGTAAAAGCTTCAGGTATAAATATAAAGATTTGCAAAGCATACTTGTACATATATTTTAATGTTAGAGGAGAACAGAAAATTTGTCTCTGATATCCTCTAATTTGGTTTGAGTCACCCATATAATAATTATAAGGATCTTCTTTTTGTTTCTGTAATAATAAGTCTTTCTTTCGATTTAAATTACACCACAAAACTTTTAATTCACAGCGATAATATGTGCAAGGTATTAAATCATTCAATTTAATTATATGCTTCGGTTGTTATGTCGTTTCCTGCCCTTTACAAATTGGTCCACTTTGTTGTTCAGAGTATTAAGAAACGGTTTGTTTAAAATGTTACTTTCAGCTTTAATTAATATGTACGTTTACTAAGTGTTTTATTGATTCAAGTAGTATTTTAAGGCATTTATTTCTTTTAGAGTTCAGTATCTAAAGAGGAGAAACGAACTAGAGAAATGAAATTTTCACAAATTATACATTTTTGCTACTGATATAAAAACAACTCCATAAACAAAGTAACGTACTTTTGCCCAGTTATGCTCGATCGATTACGATTGGTAGCTACTTGAAATAACTAGAAAGAGGTTGTAATATGGAATTTGTTTACCTACTGTTGTTTACCTAGTCAATGCTACCAACAAAATCCACTTGGCCGATTGTACTTGTCATCTGCTTAATTAACTTAAGATATTAAGTTTATAAGATATAACATTACGTCATCAAAAACATCTACCATACAAAAAAATACTAACCCACGATCGTCCGACCATCTTGCAAGTTAATCTTAAAAAATTGACATGCACTCTCACGGACACTTTTTTTGAAATAGTTTAAAACAAATACTGTTATATTTTGCGATAGTACATTTAAATAAAACACTTTAACGGTTTAAAACGCGATATATTAGTTAAACGTTATTTGGAAATGTTTTTAACTTCGGCCCGACGTATCGGATGCTTTGCAGCAGCCGTCACGGGGAGGTTAGTTTAAAGCAATCAAATCCTTATTATAATATATATTTTTATTTATATACATATATTCTTTTATATGTATTTTCTATTCTTGAACCGTTATCGCAGCGCGCGAAAATGAATCCCTTAAAGCCCTTATACCCGTTTTTTCCACATTACCCTTATTTTCGTCGCTTCATGTAAGATGTTTTTAAAGCCGTCCTGATAATAGTTAATCAACACAAAAATAATTTTACAATTCGAACCAGCAGTTCCTGTGATTAGCACGTTCAAAAAAACAAACTAACTCTTTAGATTTCTAATATTAGTATGAACTATCTATCCATTTATTGTATTGAAAGCTTCCGTTAATATGTGAACTCGGGTGACTCAACTTACATTTAAGTGTCGTGCGAATTCGTGACTTCGCAGTGCCTACTTTCCAATGGGACTTATTCTTCAGATTAGGACACATATATCTTCTCGTATCTTCAAAACAAGATGTATAAAAGAGTTTATATTAGGTCCCTATTTATTGAACTTATCTGTTTGGATGTTAATAAACATTCTCTTGATACGTTTTACGAATTATAAAACAGAACAGAAATTATTAGAGTCTAGAGATAACATATTTTTTGTAAAATTGTCAAGATAAAATGATTCTAGATACATCTTGCTAATTTGTGAAGAAATTAATATTAATAATTCTGTATCATGTTCCAAAACATGAATACTGAAAATCTAAACTAAACAATGTTAAAAATGAATAATCGATTTATGACACAAACTATAAACTCTCGCTGTTGTCGTCCTTATTTATGTGTGTACATGTATAAAAGCATAATTTGCACTACATGTGAAAAATAATAACGTCTGAAGTATATCATTACTGTTAATGTGATTTATTCTGTGGGAATAGTGCGAAACCTTTCGTCGACAATTTGTCTTGAATACCGATTGCTTCCAGTCACGAGAATGTAAGCGAGGTTAAGCATTAGGTAGAGACTACAGACTATAAATTGTGACCGTGATTCGTAAATATTTTCTCCTCGAACGCGCCCGGACACGAACCGAGATTACATCTCGATCGAGATGTTTAAACAATGCCGTGACGATTGTAAAAGGCATGTTCGATCTAAATCGATCGTAAAATATTATGACTTCTAATTCGTCACTTGGTATTTGAAGAGGGAAGGGTAGAAGCCAAAGTGTCAATTACAAAATATTACGACTCATTATCTTTAATTATTAGTAAAAAAAACTCGGTATTTACTTTTTTTTATGTGAATTTACAACACAACGTTCTTTCTCAAGCTGAAGGAAACAATTGACAAACGTTGCCCGTCAAATAATATCATGTCAACTTACACATGTGTACAATTTTTTTTGCCAAATTCATTAGTTTTATTTTGTTTACCCCTATACACGGTTTCATATAGCTTTGCACAAATTGGTAATCCCTTTAGATGCATCATTCAGACATATTATTTGTGTTTTAGGCACTTATGAAGTTCAGTGAATGCGATTCGATGTTTTGTTAAACATAATGAATTGGTAAATAATATGCACGTTAAATTATTATCGGTAAAACTCGTGAAATACGTTGCAACGAGAGCAAATTTTGCAATCCAGAGCATAATAATAAATTCCGATAACGAGAGGTAACCTTTAAAGGCCGAGAAAGGCCGTTGTATAATGATAATGTAGAACATTGGCGGTTGATAAAGCGTGAGAATTTATCTATTATATTCCTGCGTAAGATACAATTACTATAGAGAAAAAACCAAGAAATACGTATCTTTAAAAAACTTCAATATCTTTCTCATGTTATTGCACGTGATGGCACTATATAAATAAAAATGCGATTACACATTTTTAAAAAAAAACGTACTGTTTCTCTTACACACTAACTCGGACAGGACAAATTCGAATAGAGAAAAGTACATTTTTTTTTAAATATATAATCGATTTTATTTTAATACATGTATTTTTCTTTTGTAATTCGCGAAAACCTACCAATTTGCGTCACATGTTTGCATGTATATACACCAAGACTTAACTCAGTTGTAAATTTTTTTTACGAGAAAAATGTTTTTGAATAGCTAAAGGATTTCGGTCTATTATAGCAAGACTTTGTGTTTAAGAATATACACTTAATAAAATCGAATTAAGACATAACGTTTACTTTGGGAAAATGTAAATTTCTTTCCGTAAAGCCTATTATGTTCTTTCAAATTAAGAATGTGATACAACTACCAAATCAAGTAAAACAGCGCAACTGTTGTTACTTTTTTAACGGAGCAGAACTGGTTTTGTTTACGTGTAAAAATTAGAAGGCTTCAACGGAAGTTATATCCACGTGCGGCGTGCCATATGTCTGCCGAGAGCCAACACCTGTTTACTAAGCCAATGTTTTTAGTTTTAATGACATACAGACGATTAAAATGTCAATAGAAAGTCCATTTTTTTTTAATCTCATAAACATAATCAAATATTTTACTTCTTTTGTTTTTTATGGGTTATTAATGACACGTTAAAATATGGAACTGGGATGAACGAAATATGACGTCACTTAATTTTTTTCTTAATTCAACTGGAATAATATCTATCTATATTTATTATCAGAAAGTTTTATAAATGATGATATAATAAGACTCCGTGTCTAGCTGGTCAGAGAGCATCAGCATAGTACGCTATAATCATGGGTTCGAATTCTGATCGAGTTTTCAAGGTTATATAAAATAGAATTTTAATTTCAAATACTTGTTATCACATTAAACACTAACAGTTATAATATGTCAGTAGTCGCCAACGGTGAAATTTTCATTACGGCTTTTAATTGAATACCTTGTTAATAAAGCTAACATAAATTCACATTAATTCAACACCAAGAAATGTTAACACCGTTCGCACGTAAGTACAAGACTTCATTAATTTGAAACATATTTTTGAGACCTATCCATTAATTTCTTATATACAAATGTAGGTACAATATTCGAATACATTTTGAGATTCGCCATTAGATCGTAAGAGGTTTAAATAAAAAAATATAATAAATAAAGAGGCTTAGCTTAGCTTAAGTACTTTAAACTGCGAGTCGATAGTCATGGTGGAAGTAATATATGGGGATGGAGGGATAAATGTTGGGAGCTTATAAAACAATATATTTCGCATTTTAAACCGTTAAAAGTGTTACCAACACTGCCGCGCTATTTAGTAAACATAGTTTGTAGGTCGGGTGTTCGATCTTTGGTCTAAAGAGACTGGCACATTCTAGACTAGAATACACGCTAGACTAACAGAGGTGGTGTTTTTTTAATGATGGAGACAGACTAGCATGGGTGTCATTTGATGGTAGGTGAAATACCATACAATGTACATAAGGGGTTGTCCATTAATCACGTGATCTTTTTTTAACCCCCTCCCCATTGGTTAGACGTAGTGAGGTTTACGACAACTCCCCTCCCCCCTTATGTTAATATATTCTGAATATTATCTTAATTTAAATACAGGTATAGACTATAATCTTATTTTATTCTGAAATTAAAGACCATAATAAAAATGTCTACACCATTTGTGTAAAAATCGCGCGTTTGACGAGCGAAAAATTGAAATTGAAAACGAAAAAATAAATACACGCGATATCTTACTACACCCCCCCCCCCTTGTGTTATTTTCGTGATTTTTTTAAAACCCCCCCTTTCAAGCCTCACGTGATTAATGGACGATCCCTAAACAAGATGCGCAGTCGCCCTATTATAGGTATATTTGGAATATATATTTGGAAATCAACCGCCGAAACGCGTCTAAACTTCACGTCTTTTTCATTTAGTGGATTGTGAGCCGGACGGAATTTCGATATTCCTGCCACCTATTTAATGTCCAGATTTCCAGACGAAGGCCAATATGTATTAGAAAAATGAAAAACATGAACTCACGACCTGTTGTTTATAAGCTATACTTTGCTACCACTAGACCAACGTCCCGTCAAAACGAGGTCTTGTGACTTGTGCATTGATTTCCTCACATGTAAATTACAATCTGATTTCAGTTCTCGCTGTTGTGCTTCTGCCTTATAACGGTGATGCCGCAAGCATACTCTGCATGTACGGAGAAGGATCTGTATGCGGCAGCGATGGTTTCACTTACAATAACATGTGTGACTTCCAAATCGTGAAGTCTAGCCAACCCGATATTTCTATCAGGCACCTGGGTTCTTGTGCAGGACGCAGATATGTTGTAAACCCTTATAACGAAGCTTTAAATGCAAAAGAAATATACATCCAAAATAAAAGTGGACTTCGCCAACCGTTAGTAATACTGAGATGTATCTTTCTATATATAATTCAAAAATTGTTTAAAAAATACCTTTCTGTTATTTATCTATGCCAAAGCGTTCGTGTACTATATCTTGAACTTTTCTATAAAATTGAGGTGTTATAAAATATAAAAGGTTTAAAGATGTTTATTGCTCGTAAGAATTTACAATTCACTTAGAACGAGAAATACATTGTTTTATAAATAACTTTGGTGTGCCTCAGGCTATTTTATATAAAACTAGAATTAGATAGGTTATAGTTTAATATGTGACTTAATAGTTTATTTTTAAACAATGCTAAACTTTTTGAGATTTTAACTTTATTATCTTATCTAAAACATTAAATATGCTTTCCAAATTTTCAAAGCAATACGTGTTATTGTTAACATGTTTTCAAGTTACTAGTATCTTTATAATATTTAATAATAATTTACGCATTATTAAAGAAAATATTACCTTTTCAGGCCGCCACTAATAAATGCATTCTCCGAAGGTAACTTAGCAAGAATGTTACTCGCACAAATAATAAACTCACAGAGTAAGTAGTAAAAATGTTTTGTAATAGGAAAAGCCTATGATGTACGTAAAGACACTAGCAAAACTAAATATTTTAGATCTAAAAAAAATTTATTTTTTTTTATTTTAGCGCACCTTGGAGGATTCTTTTTCCATGATAACGTGTTGAATACACAAGGAAACCAAAACTCGATGGCGTTTAATGTTGGAAACGGCTGAAGAAGACCATTATCTGGATCTCTGTCAATACTGTCTGGTGGTGTTAATAAATTAAAAAGTTAAACACATAATTGAATTTTATTGCTGGATTTTATATCTTTTAAGGCTCTAATAAAAAAAGATAACATTTATTTTTTTTTGTTTTTTAACTTGTCGAACGTTGCTGTCGACGCTATCCCATTATCGCTCCTGATGGTAAAGGTGGATCCAGGCTAAGTTGATGAATCGTGCTGATCTATTAAAAGCCTATTTACTATGCGTTTGAAGTTCCCCCATACTGACTTCATCTGAGAAAACAAATGTAGGCTAGGAGTAAATTCCAGTCTTTAGCGGTTCGCATCAGAAACGGTGAAGCAAAGCAGCTCGTTTGACTCATGGGTTTTGGCTTCAGGATGAAAAGACCATTCGTCTTGACGATCATTCTACAAAAGAAGTATTAGATTGTAAAACTCCCACGCACCAACGCTGTGATTGATATATGAATGCTAAAATTTCAATATCGACTTAATTATAATCTAATGATCACCGCCTCTGTAGCCAAATGGTTAAACGTATTGCCTAGCATTGCGTTCAGCGCGAGAGGTCGTGGGTTCGAATCCCAGGGAAACAAAAAATTGTTTTGGTCGGGCAGGGCACAGTAGTCTGATCAAATACTTGCCTGTTAAAGAACGGATCAGTGAAACGGACACAGAAATGTGTTCACCCCATGCCCCATGAGGGGGAAACGGGACTTCATTTATAATCTAATCAAGTATTACTTGATCTATTTAATTCCTTACTTAAATATATAAGTATGTCAATGGAGAGTTTAATGGGATGTTCTAAATTTTGTTCAAGAGACGGTTTTTTTAACCATTCAGCAGCAGCTAAGCCAGAAATTAACGCAGGTAACTATGAGATATTATTTGGAATCAAGATATTTCTGAAGATGTACTATTAGTAGTAGGCAATAAAAGAAATTTTCTCATGGTATTTACATTATGAAAATCGTCTCGTCATAATTAGAATAATATTTGCTAAGATGTGTTTTATACACACAATCGTGTTATAAGTAAAGCTTGTGAATTAGGGAACTATCAAAGTACAAATATAAATATAAGAACAATGTGTTACATTCTTAATTTGAGATAGATTCAAATTAGTGTTAGTCTAAGTTAGATCGCTCTCAGTGTTTACTTTTTAAGCCAGATATGATACAAAATAAAACAATGATAAAATGTTTATACTACATTGTATAACTGAAATAAACGCTTCAGAGTAAAATTTGTAATTATAGCTAGACTTTTAATTAACTAAAATTGGATAGACATGTTTTTTAAAACTCATTAAGAAGGTAAATAATTAACCATCGAGCTTATAGCGACGTATTTTATGGAACACGACCATTTTTATTTTAGATCCGTTCAAAAATGTTTTACCTACCGTCATTTCGATTTATATTTTTACAGCTATTAGTTGCGAGTATTTTAATTCTGTTTTATGGTTCCGATGCAGCAGTTTCATTCAATCTTGGCCCTGTGGATGAAAATGCAGGATCTCTCCAGTCTGTGTTTGGACTTTTGGAAAAGAACCGTCCTTTACGAAGCCAACGCTATCGGCGCCCGCCCAAGTAAGATTTAATATAAGATTTTCAAATTCAAATTAATTACTTTAAAAGTTTTGACGGGTTGGTCTAATAGTAGCGATGTATGGCTACTAATCAACGGGTCGATCCCCACCGGGTCCGATATGTTTCTAATTTTTCAATTTACAAGATACTACAACAAAAAGGCCAAGTCTTAGTCAATTTATCTTGTATTTAAACCGTTAAAATTATTTGTTTTAGGTGGAACAAAGGCAGACATGATAAAAAAGGACAATCTAAGAAGAATTACTTTAAGAAGTACTTACTTTCTCAAATAATAGGTGCACAGAGTAAGTATTGTTAATCTATATATGTTTACTATAATCCAATGAATCTTAACACTACGATTAAGAATATCTAATTTTAAAAGTGGTAAATAATTCTGAATTATTATATAAGTCCTAATACATAAACAATGTTTCTTTGCAGCTAATTTAGAAGGATTCCAATTTAATTTCGAGAACAATACTGTCAACACCCAAGGCGATCAAAACCAATTTAAAATTTCTATGGGTTGAAGAACTGTCGTAGAAAAGACTATACATTAAATTAAATTTAGAATAAAGACAACATAATAAGTAATAATTAACGATGTATAAAATATAATCAATCCATCTTTCATTGAGAATATCTTAATGAACATTAATATTTAACTGTTCTAAACGAAGCATTTTATCTACTTTTAGAGGTTTGATTTTTGACAAATATTATAAGGTACAATTCATACAGTTCTAATGTGTATACCTATTGATTGCACAATATAATTATTTCTATTTGTGTACACTTTATAATTTGCAATTTATTATATTTTGTAAAACAAAATTGTTCGTCATTTTAAGGCCCGTTGAATTAGAAATGTTCAAGACGCGAAAAAAAATACGTAAGCTATTACTTCAATATTGTTTTAATTGCAAGCCATGTTCATTTTACCGTTATAATTGTTGGTACATGAAAAGCGAGTTTCCTACGCAACGCATTTGCAATTGAAAAATGCATTCCTCTCCTAAAAATATCCAAGTATGGTACTCCTTTTAGTGCCATGTAACTATAGATTAAAAAAATATATTTTGGTAGTGAATTTGTTTATTATATTAGTGTATAGCACTCCAGCTGCAGGATTGAAATGTCTCTACGGAGAGCAAGTAATGTGCGGCAGCGACGGAACTACCTACAACAACCCGTGTGACTTTGAAATTGTTCGATCTGTCAAAACTACCCTAACTGTCAAACATATGGGTGCTTGCCGCGTGAAAAGAACAGAAGGATGTACATTGGAGTCCATTTTAAAGCTCCTTGATGATAATAACGCATTAAGGTACAATTAGTATGTTTACACAAAATATAATATATGATATTTGTATACTGATTGCTGACTAGTACAAAGTTAAATAAAAAACCTTTAACCGTTTAAAACCGGATTTATATTATTTTAGTTACAGTTATTTACAAATTATTTAAACTGCGGCCCAATGTTTTGGTTACTTTAAACAGTTGAAGTGTTTTAATTTAAATGATATTTATCAATTAACTAGCTATTACTGCCGATATTTATAAAGATATTGTACAACGATTCGTAGAGATTGTTAATTTTTTATACGATTACAGATACCGTAAAAAAAATCGCCAGTTAGCAAGAATGCTGCTTGCTCAAATGATAAAATCACAAAGTAAGCTATTATTTTTTACTTAATTACTTCTAGAAAGTCAATATTAAATATGTTGTCTTATTTCAGCTACATTGGACGGATTTCATTTTGGAGGCAACGCTTTGAACACCCAAGGAAATAAAAATAGCTTTAAAATAACTTATAATAAGTGAAATGAAACAATTATACGCACAATACATTCACTGCATGAAGTGTAAGGTCTTACAATAAAGTTTCATAAAATGTTTTATTTACTATTACAGTACAATTCTGATTCTGAATAACTAATACGAAGACCTATATCACATATCTAAAAACATACATTTATTTACATGTTCACGAGGGTAAAAATAGTATTGATTCTTTCTTGCACTGGTAAAGGTCAAATATAGGGTCTTGCGCATGTTAGACTGTAACTTATCGCGAATAAATATTAGCCAACTTAGTCGTTGAAAACTTACTTTAATATCCTTTCTTAAAAACGTTAACTACCCACCGTTCTATCTAATATATCCTTAAATAATTTATGGTCAGTTGGACGCTGTTGCATGACTTCTCACACTTTTAATTAAAAGGCAATTAACTATAGTAGCTAAAACCAAAATTAATTATCAAGTTATCACGTTATATGGATAGTTTAATCTTATCTAGCAGGGTGCTAAATGTTAAGTTTTAGTATAACTTGTGTGTATGTGGTGGTTCGTTTTATTGTTGAATTTCAATGCTCTTAACAGCAAGAGGTATGTATGTACTATAATATAACGTATTTACTAACATATATTTGCTTATAAATAAAATTGTAGTAATATAGTTATTGATTCATCTTTTTATAGTTTTACTTTACTGTGATATAAAAACCTTCGTTACTAAAGCTTACATCACGTAAATTTCGGACGATATTTTGTCATTAAGTTTTACATTATTTTTGTTCTTTTTCGTACCATTCTTTTTATTGGTTTACAGATGTTTTAAAAACGAAACAATTAGTATGAGAATTTTTATATCTATATTTAGTTATCTATTGTCCGCAATAATCTCGCTAGCTATATACAAATGATAAAAGATGTTTGTATGTATGTATCTAAAATCTGCATGTATATCATACTTATTAATTATTATTAAACCAAAAATAAATATGTATTAATTTTGATTTCAGCTATCCTCGTTCTGATTACATGTCTGAAAGTTCACAGGGCGGTTAAGTTTAAATGTATTTATGGAAGCGATCCCGTTTGTGGGACCGATGGCATCACTTATAACAACTTTTGCGATTTACAAATTGTTACTTCGGTATATCCAAACGTCCGAGTCGGGAATTTAGGACCATGTACAATAGGAAATCAGTTCTTGGCTCCTAGTGGGACGTTAAATGAATTAGATGGACCAAGAGAAGGCTATCTACGGAAACGTAAAAAACAAAAAGGTTGGTAAGAAATTAGATTTTGGCGTAACTCGTTATAGTTGTTTAAACAATATCTTAATTTAAATAAAACACTTTAACGGTTTAAAACGCGATATATGTTAGTAAAACTTTGAAGCCAAAAAAGCTGCTTTTAAGCATTTCGGCACGTAGTTAATATAATTTTCATATAAGTTTAACTAATATATTTCACGTTTTAATTCATTAAAGTGTTTTATTTAAAAGTATACATATTGTGCTTACGCGCAGGCAGTATACAGTATTTCGTTTTGTGTAAATTAATATTAATATAGGATGATAGATGTAACGATTGAAAATAAGGATTGCATAGTATAGTGTGCGAATTTTTTATTCAGTCAAGCGAGAACTATTAAATTTTTCCTACTATATAACAAGGCTTATTTAACACGATTGTCAACTAATCTGTTTCAGGGAATGGACTTCAAGTAAATATTATAAAGAAACCCTTATAAATAAACTATTAAAATCAATGGGTAAGTGATAAGGAGTCTGTATGGATGTCCTGTTTTTTTTATTAAGGCATAAAAACATGTTATAAACTCAAATCTAGCAACAAAGGGATCTTATAAAACCTTATACATTTTAAAATTAACATATTTTCTAGGAACTATAAGCGCCTTTGCTCATTTTAATATGGAGAATAATAAGATAGACATGATTGGAAACAACAATTATATGGAAATTAGGATTGACGATAACGGTCATATTACGACCAATTCGTCCAAGCCTTCGAAGTCTCCAAAGCCGTCAAAACCAACAAAGCCAACCAAGCCGCCAAAGACTGCAAAGACTACAAAGCCTACAAACCGTCCTAAGCCTTCTCCAAAGCCTACTCCAAAGCCTACGCCAAAGCCTACTCCAAAGCCTCCGCCAAAGTCTCCACCAAAACGTCCGCCACCTCCACCACCGCCTCCACCACGACCCCCACCACAGCGTCCACCACCACCTCCACCACAGCCACCACCACAGCAACCATCATCTTCTTGTTTCTTGTGGAATTGGTTTTGCTTTTGGTTTGGCTAATGAGTGTCTCAGACGTCAGAGTTGTAAGACGTCTGAATTTACCTTTTATGTTTAAAATAATAGATAGAAAATTTTATCAATACCCGCTAGATATCTATTTGATACTTCAGTTTAACTGTAGTAATTGTGGTTTAAACCAACTCTTTCTAAATGTCGCCAACACATTCGGCTGTACATCATCCCACTATCTTCTTTTAAGTTAGTCAACCTTCTACCGGTCTTCAAGCTTAGGCAGAAAAAATAATTACAGTTCGTTTGTATCTGGTCCTTCGAGCCGGTCCTATAATACCTATCTTATAATGTTATCCTACCTATCCTATATGTAATTCTCTTTTTTGGTCCTTGACATCTTGTAGTGACTGATTATTTTAAAAAAACTACAATGATAATTCATTATAACTTATTTATTCTGGAAACTACAACAGCTGGAAAAATGAATTACTTACGAGCCAATATAGAAGTCACAATAAAAATGAAACACTAAAAGGTTGAAAACAAATTAGTGGAACTAGATAGGCTGACTGAAACATAACAAGACGAAAGTGTTGTTTTTTAAACCTCTAGTAGTTCGCACTAGTAAATATGGAACTTCACATTTTTTTTCCATTTTGATGAAAGTAAATCTAAAAAAAATGCATATTTACGTATTGCATGTACCTTACGCGTCTTTGTTAGTAAATTCCATTAGCATAACATTGTTGGTTGAAATAGAATTTTAAATTATCGAGAAAAAAAACCTACAGAAATCTGGCTTTGTTTCCGTTGCAATGCCGCGGATATGTTTATAACGTCGAGACGTAAGTATTACTGTGTTTTAAACATATTAGTGAAATATTTAATAAAAAATAAATAAACTGTTTTATTGGTTTATAGAAACTAAATTAATTATATTTTATTCGTTACGATTTTGTGGGTTGAGCGATCGATGTAAAGAATTGTAATAAAATTTAAATTAAGTAATTTATTTATTTCTTTGTTACTTTTTTATTAAATATTAACCAGAGATAATATTAACTTATTAATAAGTTAACATGGTATATGAGAATAAATATAAAAGAGAACAGTAAAAGATTAATGTTTTATTATTTTAATAACAGTTATCGTCGTTTTGGTTATATGTCCGACATTTTATGAAGCTGCAAAGTTACAATGCATTTACGGCAATAAACCCATTTGTGCAAGTGATGGAAATACTTACAATAACGTGTGCGACTTACGAATCGTTCGTGCCATGTATCCAACCCTTCGAGTACGACATTTAGATCCATGTGCAGTAAGGAAAGATTTTATGGCTCTCAGTGGAAAAGTTAATTTATTGGACGGGACCAGGGGAACCTATCGCCAGAATGGAAAAACGCAAGTTCGACGTTTGGAAAAGTAATATAACATTCGTTTTATAAAAAGACTCGTTGGTTAGTGAATATCTATACTGATGTTATAAAGTTGAATAGTCTGTTTTGTTTGAACGCGCTCAGGAACTACTGGTTCGTATTGAAAAAATATTTTTGTGTTGGTTCATTGAGGAAAAGTTTTAGGCTGTGAAATGAGAGATCACGCTGCGGCCAATAGGAGCGAAGAAATGTGAAAAAAGCGGGGGAAAATGATTAATTTTGAGAGTTTCCGTTCCGTCGCGTGTACAAAAACGTGTCAAGATGACCAAACAATAAATAGAAATGAAAGAATGATTCCTCTTTCAATCATCCAAAAAAAATATCCACACTATATACGAGTATGTTTATATTCATCAAGAACGAAGGCACTCGAACCATGTCGTGGGTAACCGTAGTTTATTAAACTGAGGAGGTTGTTAGCAATAAATAATAGTATGATGTCAAACATAACTACTCTTCGCGGATGAAGTCGCGGGCACAGCTAGAATTTAATATTTTTAATGTTATAATTATTTACGAATTTGACAATTGACAATATTCACCTGTATTGTCAATTTTATCGTTTTCAATTGAATAATTAAGTCCACTTAATTTTACCGTCGATTTCAATTTTATATTCTGAGCTTTTTATGATAAAACACGATATTTAAATAGAAAAAAATATTTCACGATAAAATGCAATTCTACGTGGAAAACGTTTCATTCCAATTAGCAGCATTGCTTTTTGTCAAGCAATCATTTGTTTTTCAGAAGTCTTAGAGAGTCGTCTTCAAATAAAAACACGGAATCATTGGTCAACAATTTGTTTGATTCAATGGGTAAGTATTGTAATATTTATAAATAAATTAAAATTTGAGTTCTACAGAAACTTATAAAATATTTCAAGAGATAACATAAAATTCATACATTTTACTAAAGTTCAAGTAAGTTACTTAACTTTCAAAAGTTTCAAAATTTTAATTGATATTGAAATCTTAATAACTTACTAATTTAACCTTATTTTAGGCACTATCAGCGCCTTTACGCGTTTCAAAGATAATCATATTATCATAAAAGGAAACAACAATTTATTGAAGGTAGATGGAGAAAGCTATGATGACAACGAAGGTGTTGAATTGAATCCCCAAAAGCCTCCTTCTAAGCCTCCATCTCAGGCTCAACCGGAGCGTTCTTGGTGGAATTTGTGGAAATTTTGGAGTTGGTTTGGCTAATAAAATCTTAAAAATTGATTATCGAAAATTAAATGTTTACTTTATCTGTAGTATTTAAAAGAATATCAAATCAACTTTCTATTTCAAGCAGATCGCTATATCTACCTCTTTGATTAAAGTAGTTAGCGTTAAAAACACGAAACGCCGCATGCGCAGTCAATAACCTTTATATTAATTAGTTCTATCGTTACATATATTATGTGATCAGCGTTGAATGTCACAAAAGAAAACACACAATAAATAAGTATTAAATTTGATTTTTAAATAATAAAAAGTATCTCACTAGAAATGTCACAGGATAAAAAGTGACCAAAATCTAATATTTAAAAGTACCTTAATCCAAAGTAGATAATAAAAAAGAAATCCTTTTTATATACAGTTACAAATCATAAGAGATTGAAACACCTTAATTTACATACTGTAAGTAGCGAGTAGTACACATTTAAATAAAACATTTTAACGGTTTAAAACGCGATTTTAACAAAACAGAAACAGTCTCCTCGTGACCAGTGCTGCAAAGCATCCGAAACGTCGGGCCGAAGTTAAAAAACATTTTCGAATAAGTTTAACTAATATATCGCCATTTAAACCGTTAAAGTGTTTTATTTAAACACCTTCGTCATACCAAAGGCCTCATTATTCCTGCTTTTCACTGTCCTAGGTTTTAGTGCTACTGGTACGAGTTACTGGATGTGACCCACCTGACATGTACTGATCCTAAATACTGTCTAGTACAGTCAGGAACTTATAAAGTAAATTAAATAATGCATATATATCTTTAAAAAAATACTTATAACGGTTTAAAGCACAAAAAAAATTAGATAAATTATATTTAATTTTTGTACCCATGTATGGCTATTATGGGTCGTGGGTCGATCCCCACCAGGTCCAACATGTTTCTAATTTTTCAATTGTAATTTTTCTATAAATGTTGAATTTCGTTTGAAAATTTGTATGGTAGGAATATCGAGATTCCGTCCAGGTCACACACCGCCGTCCACAGACAAAAAAAGCCGTGAAGCTTAATCGCGTTTCAGTGTCAGTCTGTGGATTTCCGAATATCCAAAACCAAAATAGGTCGAGAGCGCATCTTGCTTAGATACTATAGGCTGGGGTATATCACGTGAACCTCTTGCTTGCCTGTTCTCCTCATCATAAAAACCGTCAGTAAAAAAATGTATGTCTACAAAATTTCACTATTGCATACACGTGGTAAACTAAAATCAATATTAAACCAAAAATTTTGTACCAATTAACAACTCAATTAATTGGCATGAAATTTTCGCTTCTAAGAAAAATTGAAAATTATCAACACAAGATGAAAGGTTTTATGTTTCCATTAATCTACAGTAAACCATTTTCTTTTCTGTTCTCCTTTGCAATGGTAATAATATGTTAAGAACGGCGAGACGTACGTATTACAATTACAATATATTTCAGTTTATAATTAATATAGTGAATCATACATTTCTTAGCCCGTTTCAGTAATAGAATGTAATAACAGACAAGTAGTTGTCTACTCTGCCCTGTTAGTACGAACCAATCTATCGTTTCCCCAGGGTTCGAACGCAGGACTCAACACAATGCTGCGAAAGCAGTATTTATATAAATAATGGCTTTTATAAGTTGCTTATTTTATGTCCATATAATTTTATAATCTAACTTTTATCAACATCAGCATCTAACTTGAATAAAACACATGTAACGGATTAAAACGCTAAATTAATTAGTTAACATGTTCGCAATTCGTTTGCTACCGCAAAGCATGTAAACGTCAGGTCGCAGCTAAGATAAATTAAAAATAAGTTAACTATGTAATATATTCGCGTTTTAAACCGTTAATGGTGTTACTGCTCGCGTAAACTACAGATATTAGGTACTTAAAAAAAACGAAACATAGAACTTAATAATAAAATATATGTGATTATATTTTTTTGTAGAAAATCAAGCGTTTTTAATGTTAAACGATTGATTATTAATTTTCAATTGCAGTAATCCTCGTCCTAGTGGCAATAAATCCGACATTTCACAAGGCGGCTAAGTTAAAATGCATTTATGGGAGCAACCCGATTTGTGGGTCCGACGGCATCACATATAACAACGTTTGCGATTTGCAAATTGTTCGTTCTATATACCCAGAGCTCCGTGTAAGGCATTTGGGTAGTTGTGCAATAGGAAATCAGTTCGGAGCCAGTGGAGTCATACATTTAATAGACGGGTCTGGTGGAAGATACCTTCGGAAACGACCGCGCAAGAACAAGTAATGTTATATTTTTTATGATAGAGAAGCGCGAGGTTCACGTGAAATACGCCAGCCATGTAACATTTAAACAAGATGCGCTATCGTCCTATTTCGGCTTCGGAAATCCACAGACTGAAACCGAAGGGCAATTAGAATTCACGGCTCTGTCATCTGTGGACGGAATTTCGATTTTCCTACCGCCCATTCAATATCCTGGTTTTCAGACGAAATTGTTTCAGACAAAATTGTGTTGGCGATCGAACGCGCGAATGAGGCCGTCTTTGATAATTCTATTGGAAAAAAGTGCAAATTTAAGCTGTATAATAAATAATTAACAAATTTCAGAAGATATAGGATGTCGTCTACCGATGCGTCGTACGAAGAAAATGAATTCTTAAAAGAATATCTGTTCTCTAAACTATTTAATTCAGTGGGTAAGCCTATACTATTTTGTATAGTACACAATAAACTAAACATTTAACGGTATAAAATTCGAGAAATATACTTCTATCATAAACAACGACCCAACTTTTCAATGGTCGTCGAATTGGTAAATAAAATAATAATTTCGTGTTTGAAACCGTCAAAGTATTTTTTTTAAATATAACACCGTAAAAACTAAACTATGCTTCAAATTTTCTTTCTTCTAGGAACTATAAGCGCTTTCAACAATTTTAATATGGAGCAGAATAGCATAGGAACCACGGGAAACAGCAATTTGTTTCAAATAAGCTTTGGTAAGCCTGAAGAGACTACAGCCAAACCAGCATGAAACTATCTCTATTAAAATTATTCTCAAATCGAATTTATCTTTTTTTATTATAACGTCGACAGTACATAACACAACAAGATACGGTTGCTCAATACTAGAGCATCAGTTCGGCACTCGGAAATTGTTTTATCCTTAACGTATATACGAATTTTATTAAGTAAATCCTTTGAAAAACTTTAATTTTTTCACATATTGCACATGAAGGCACTGTCAATTTAAAAATCACCCTGATCAATCTGACGCTGACGATGCGTCAGCGTCAGAGCAACAGCACGGAACGCTGACGATGCCGGTTCAAGTCCTTCCCGAGTCGATAACTTTTTCAATTTATTTTCGATTTTTAAAGTAAATTCTTGTTTATTCTATACTATTATTATAAAGCTTTTATATATGATATATATAAGATTTTATATGTTTCGATTTTATTGGGTCGAATTGAAAAAAAATGTGTTTGTGTTTTTCTTTAAATATTTCAAAAAAAATCCTCGTTTATTGATTAAGATTTACTTGCATGAACAACAAGACGCAGATTACGTCGTGAGTAACAGCTAATAATAAAAAGTGGAGGTTGTTTGAAAAAATATTAATATGATGCCCAAATAAATGCCATGCGGACATAGTCGCGAGTACAGCTATCTTTTAATAATAATAAATTTTTCATGTTCACTTTGATAGAAAGCACATCTTCTTCTTCTTCCTTGAATGCAGCACATAACTCACATCCTCATAATAATTATAACCAAACAATTTCGGTTTCGCCTTTAACTTTCCCTTGCTCTTCACACATTTCCCGTTGTATCTAGAGAAAAGATCTCCCGAATTCTTCCTATCGTAGTTCAAATGACAGATATTGTGATAAGTTTTCTCATTACTGCCACAAACCGGTGCGTATAACTGACATAACCTCTTACACTTTCCGTTATGGAGCATTTGCAAATTTGGATTCCGTTTCTGCGCGTCCTGGAAGCGACTTAATGATGCGAATGTCTCAAAATTCGTTCCACATAGCGGGCTGTTCTTGAAACTGAAGTTTGGTCGTGGCATCATATTGCAGTGCGTTGTAATCATTAAATACATAGCTGAAATAGTTATATACAAAACCATATTTCTCTGTGACATAGTATGTAACTAAATGTCTACGATAGTAACCAAACCACTTAAATGTCCATACGCGATCGACTCGAAGAAATAATCTTACCGAATTAATTTACTGTGAGAAAGCCATTGGTTTGAGTAATTAAATCCGAGTAATTACTTAAGCTAATAGGTAATTTAAATAAGGATTAGTATGAGCGTAGAGACTCTATGATGTGGAAAATGCCGCTAACTGTGTCATCATTGATAAGTGAAATCATTTAAATAAAATACTTTGAAAATGATTTTTAACTTCGGCCCGACGTTTCGGATGCTTTGCAGTAGTCGTGGTCACGGGGAGACCATTTTCAAATAAGTTTAACTAATATACCGCGTTTTAAACCGTTAAAGTGTTTTATTTAAATGTGTACTACTCGCGTAAACTATAGACAGTATCTAAGTGAAATCATGTTTGCCCCATATTGTTTTTTTTTTCTAATTTTGTAGGCCTCGTAAGTTTAATAGTAACAATTTAATAGTAGCTTCGATCCCAACTGGATCGAACATTTTCTAATCTAATTCTCATCTTTTTAAAACATCTTGAACTTGGCTAGAATAATCGAAATTCCGGCCGGATGAAGAAGCCGTGAAGTCAAAATTGACGTTCAACAATACATCTTGTTGAGATTGATTGAGGTTATATGTTGTAAGTTAATTAATATATTTCGTGTTTTAAGCGAGTAAAAGTTTTTTATTCACTGATTAATTTACTAACAGACAATTTACGATTGAATATTGTGAATGTGGTGCATACATAATGGTTTTTATGTTGTTATGCCTACAAATGTTGTTAAGGCTTTCAAGGACGAAGCTGGTTAGTCTTTCCTTAGTGGAGGAACGTTAAAAACGATGATGTCATCCGCTCGTTATGGCGAATAAGTTAAATAAAATGGAGACTAAGTTATAAAGAATTTCATCAAGCCTCGAACAGGTCAAAAACATTCATTCATCTTTTTGTATAGAACACCTTTAGAACATTTAAATAAAACACTTTAACGGTTTAAAACGCGATTTGTATTAATTAAACTAGTATGGAAATTGTTTCAACTACTGTAGTCACGGGGAGACGGGTGCGGCGGCTGATATATATCGCGTTTTAAATCGTTAAAGTGTTTTATTTTAATGTGTACTACTCGCGTAAAGTACAGACAGTATTAACAGTAAGTACATTACAGTATTAAGCATTAGCGAGCTCTAAAAAGAAATACGGTACCAAGTATATTTAAAAAGAAATTGTGACATAAACATTTCGCATTAAGTAACAGACAATTTGTAACATATAGTCACTCGGGGCGTTAGAAAATCGAAAGATAAAAATCATACTCTTACAACAATCTCATATGCTTACAAAACTCCACCTACGCACTCGGCAGTGTTTCGCTATTTTAACTTGACGACAAAAGGGGGTAATGTTTTTACCAGTCATTTATGTAGGTATGTATATTAACTCTAAGCTAATTTGGAGATGTGAAATTATTAGATAGTAAGTGAAATTCCGTTTCCCTACGTGGGGCAAACGTTTTCTATGTACGTTACACAGATCGGTATTTTTACACAGGATTCGAACCCAGGACTTCTCGTGCTTAACGCAATACTAAGCAACACGTTAAACCATTTACCTGCTGAGGCGGTCAATTAAAAAGGATAAATAAAAATTCGTAGTTAGTAATCTTTAAAATTATACAACTTACCTTGAAAAAAAAAAACCTGATATTTGCCTCGTGTTTATTATTAAAAAAGGAAAATAAAATGTAATATGTTTAGCGTTTAATTCTGTAGTTCGCCCTTTCCAGGAAGTCTTAACTATTTGTACCTCATGTAAGCTTTGCCGGTTTTGCGCACAACATTTCATAATATTGAGTTTGACCGCTGAGAAAACGAGATTTCTATGCATACCTACCTGGGAGCCCTCTTTTCTTTTAATGATCAAAGTAAAAAAGAACAGTCTCTATGTTATTTTAATCATATCATAGCCTAATTTTTCAATACTTAATATAAGCATCCTAATTGAAGCTGAAGAGTTTGTCTGTTTGAACGCGCTAATCTCAGAAACTACTGGTTCGAATTGAAGAATTGTTTTTGAGTTCGTTGGACCATTATTATCGAGAATAGCATTTACCAATGGGGTGAACAAAATTTGTCAGCTTTGAAAGGTACCGTTGGGTATACTTCGAAAACGGTTTAATTAACGGTTTAACCAAAAGATATGAGTTAAGAATGATTGTTTTTTAAATAACCTAAAACGTGTCAGTAACAATATATTCCTATCTTTTAAAATTAACGAAGGACGGGACGCGGACGACGTCTTGAGTAGCTTATTTACCTAAAGCGGTTCTTGGCAAAAATAGTATGATGCTGAAAATAACCACTCCACGCAGACGAAGTCGCGTTCAAAGCTTATAATAAGATAATACAACTTAGTCTACCAGCAAACGCGTTTTTTCTATCCTCCGGGATCATTGTCCTATACAGTACAAGTTGGCAGTGGAATCACAAACGGATGATACACAAAATATTGATTGGTCTTCAGTTTTATACGCAAACACAGTTGATGTCAAAATCAGTGCTCTTAATTCAATTTTAACAAGACTTTTCGATAAACATGCTCCACTTAAATTGGTAAAAATCAAGCACACACCTGCGCCGTGGCTGACTAATGATCTAAAAGAACTTATGCGCAAGAAAACTGCTGCTAAGGCCAAGCTGAAGAAGAGCAACAGTGACTATCATCGTGAGCAATACAGAAATGTACGAAACCGATGCAACACGTTATGCAGAGACGCTCAAAGGCAATATATCCACAAGTCAGTAGAGGGTGGCAATACTGCTAAAACATGGAAATTCTTGAAGTCCTTAGGTTTCGGCAAAAAACAACTTCTTTCTCCTATCCCAAGTAGTATTAGCTTAACCCAATTAAATCAGCACTTTTCCTCTGCCACTTCAGGCCTAAATCTTTTAGATAAAACTAAAACATTAAATTTCTTATCTCATTTGACCAATACAAATCATCAAACATTTAATTTTACGCCGGTGACTGAGAATGTCGTCAAAGAAAGCATAATGTCCGTCTCCTCTAATGCCTTAGGGTGTGATGGAATTGGCCGTGCTATGATAATCCCTATCCTTGATATCATATGCCCTATCATTACTCACATCTTCAATTTTTCTCTAGAATCCGGCTCATTTCCCCACTTATGGAAGAAAGCTTATATATTGCCAATCCCAAAAAAACGCAACCCGCAAAGTTTTCCCGATTTCCGTCCTATATCCATTCTTCCTTTTCTATCTAAAATTCTTGAAAAATTGGTACATCAACAAGTCAACCAATTCCTTATTTCTAATTCATTGCTTGATCCTTACCAATCTGGCTTTCGTACCGGTCATAGCACGGTCAGTGCTCTAGTGAAGGTAACAGACGACATTCGTTGGGGATTTGATAACAGGACCTATACTATCTCAGCTATGCTTGATTTTAGCAATGCCTTCAATACAGTGGACCATGACATTCTTTTAGCTCTTCTCAACAACCTTAATATATCTCCCTCGGTCGCTAACTGGTTCAAAGACTACTTATCTGATCGCCAGCAATGCATACGAGTAGATGATAAGATATCTTCTTGGTGTACTGTTCCAGCTGGCGTTCCTCAGGGGGGGGTGTTATCTCCTCTTCTTTTTTCCCTCTTCATCAAGACTATCACTGCAAACCTCTCCTCTTCATATCATGTTTATGCCGATGACCTCCAAATTTATGCTCAAACTGATATCAATAATTTAAATAACTCAATTGATATCATTAATTCTGATCTCGCGCTAATTATGCAATGGAGCAAGTCATATGGCCTGCATCTAAATCCAACAAAAACGCAAGTTCTTATATTTGGCACATCGAGTATGCTATCGCGGATTGATTGGACAAACTTGCAGTCAGTATGCGTTGATGGAGTTCCTCTCACATACAGTAGTTGTGCGAAAAACCTAGGTATCTATATAGACCAGACATTGTCTTGGACAAAACAGATTGAGGAAGTACGTAAGAAAGTGTTTGCTGCTGGTTCATCTCTTCGCAGACTTTCCAATTTCCTACCAGTACCAACGAAGCAAGTGCTAGCGCAGTCACTTCTTATATCAATCCTAGATTATGCAGATATATGTTACCTTGACATCACTGAAGAACAACTAAATAAATTGGAACGCATGCAAAATTATGCTATTCGTTTTATCTTTGGACTGAGAAAATATGATCATGTCTCTGAATACCGTAAAAAACTCAATTGGTTGACAATACGAAAGAGGCGTGATATGCACGTTCTCTGTCTACTCTACCGAATCCTTTTTGATCACACCACTCCTTCTTACCTTAAAAAACGATTTATCTTCCTAGGTGCTTCTCACGAACTTGATTTGAGATCAATTGATAATCTTCTTCTCTTTATGCCTCTACATACTACGAAAACGTATTCTAACTCTTTTTCAGTTCATGCTGTTAGACTCTGGAATTCCCTACCTATTATGATTAGAAAAGCGCAGTCACTATCAAGCTTTAAATACAAGTTAAAAAACCTTTTCCTTCAGGATTAATTATATTTTTTAGTAATATATTTTAAAAATATATATATTTATATTTAACCTGTCTAAATTGTCTTCCCGGTGAAACATGCTGCTACGCTTAAATGGCAATGGTTGATACTCACTTATGTGCATAGTTTTACACAGTCATTTGATTGGGTAAATTATTTTAATTATTAAGTCAAACTTTAAAAACATACTTAATATTGTATAAACTTATTATAGCTGTATTGTATAAACTTATTATAGCTGTAGTGTTACCCTTATTATTATCATGTATTATTGTAAATCTCCATTTTCAAGGTTGCCTGGAAGAAATCGCTTTTTAGCGATAAGGCCGCCTTTTC